AGTAAGAAATGACAGCTTTTGGAATAAAAGGAATTATAGAACTAGGGGAGTTTTTCATCCTCTGAAAGAAGGGCCTTGTCTATACTTTTGAGGACCCACAAGAACAAATAGGTCTTTCTGAGTAACTAAAAGCCTAACTAGGCATAGGGTCCAATCCAAACCAAACAACCATAACAATATTTTCAGAAAATCAATGACTAACACTAACTTTGAGGCATTTCAAAACTCTCTAGCAGAGTACCTGGCACAGAGGAGGCATTTATTAAAAGTTAACTGAAAAGAAAAATGAACATGGTGATAATTTATACTGAGATTTTCCACTCTGGTAGATTTTTCAGAGTTTCTTATAAATTCATCTGCCTAAACACCCCGCTGTTAGAGTAATTAGAGAGTCACTCTTGAAGTGCTATCGGTCGCTTCTGTTTCTCCAACTCCTGCCTGTGCTGATGAACATGATGCCCTCATCACAGGGGAAAGCAGTCCTACCTCTTCCATTCTATTCTCAGGCTCATTTAATCCACAAGCAGTGAAGTGGACATAAGAAAACACACACACACACACAGAAGCAGTAAGAAATGACAGCTTTTGGAATAAAAGGAATTATAGAACTAGGGGAGTTTTTCATCCTTTGAAAGAAGGGCCTTGTCTATACTTTTGAGGACCCACAAGAACAAATAGGTCTTTCTGAGTAACTAAAAGCCTAACTAGGCATAGGGTCCAATCCAAACCAAACAACCATAACAATATTTTCAGAAAATCAATGACTAACACTAACTTTGAGGCATTTCAAAACTCTCTAGCAGAGTACCTGGCACAGAGGAGGCATTTATTAAAAGTTAACTGAAAAGAAAAATGAACATGGTGATAATTTATACTGAGATTTTCCACTCTGGTAGATTTTTCAGAGTTTCTTATAAATTCATCTGCCTAAACACCCCGCTGTTAGAGTAATTAGAGAGTCACTCTTGAAGTGCTATCGGTCGCTTCTGTTTCTCCAACTCCTGCCTGTGCTGATGAACATGATGCCCTCATCACAGGGGAAAGCAGTCCTACCTCTTCCATTCTATTCTCAGGCTCATTTAATCCACAAGGAGTGAAGTGGACATAAGAAAACACACACACACACACACACAGAAGACTGTATTATTAATTAGAAGGTAATAGTAGATCGATCAAATAGTCGATATGTGATTCAGCATCTTTTACTCTAATTGCCAAAACTGGCTACTTGGATAAGCAATTGTGCATGAGGGTCTGTTTGCCTCCTCTTAAAAGTCTAGATTTTATTCTTGGATAGAGTCAGATAATCAGAGAGCTACACACCTAAGCTGTTATTATTACTCCTCATAGAATCACTTTTGATGAAACATGCTTTGGCAATACCACCAGCCTGCATGAGGGACTAAAAGAAGAGCACAGGGGCTGGCCAGTTGGCTCACTTGGTTAGAGTGAGGTGCTAATAACACCAAGGTTAAGGGTTCAGATCCCCATAGCAGCCAGCCGCCAAAAAAAAGAAAGAAAGAAAGAAAGAAAAGCACATGACTCTTGGTATTGCTTCAGTCGATTGCACTGATTTAGTGGATGCTCAGGAACCCAGATTACTGCATCCACCATATCTCTTTTCTGAAAATCCATGGGAGAAATTTTTCCAGGTAAAACTGTGTTTCATCTGGAGCAACTATTTTGTTTTTACTTTATAGATACTATAAATCTGTTGTACATGTTACATGTTTAACAGTTGTTTGGCACATAATGCATGCTCAATAAATATCTGTTGAATGAATCAACAAATTTTCCCCATGCTCTGACCACTAGGCTGCGAGATAAATGTATTGCCCCATAAATTAATTTCTATAGGCAAGCCTGATGGCAGGCTTTGAGTTCTAACTCTATCCCTGGCTTCACCTTATTTTCTGAGGTCAATGATCTTTATTCTATTCCATATTCTTATTCATTTTACCTTGTAAGCCCTTCACATCCTTTCCTGGAAAAACAATAAAAATATTTAAGATTTAATTATAACATTCCACAATTTATATTGACACTATCCTTGGCTAAAATGACCTTAAACTTGTCTGTTTTCTATTCCTCTTCTCTCATTTCCTCAAAACAATTAAGGCTGAATTGTAAAAAAAAAAAAAAACATCTATTTTCAAAACATATTGTTAATTTACTTTGACACAACTATCACACTGGTTCCTCTTCAAAAGCAGGGATGTTACCATATCTTATCTGTCTTTGTATGTTCACAAAGAACTGACACACAGCTAGATCAATGTTGATGAAGTTTTTCATGGAGTTAGAGTTATTTTGAAAAATGAACGAGAAAGACATATAAATTTAAAATGGTGAAAAAAGGCTGCATACTAATTTAGAACTAATTTAGATTCTCTGGAGAAATACAGCATGGATAAAACATAAAAGGCTTTATTTAAACTAAAGTATAGCTCTAAGAGTGATTTAGTGTGCTGTAAGCAAGATGGAGAGTAAGGGAACTATGAACTTTTGGGCGTCCGATTATCTGATATAGCGTCAGAATTCTCTTCTTGATTAAGTGAAAACTACTCTCCATCTCTCTAGCACATTTGCTCCCAGGACAAACAGAGATAGGTTCTAATAACAGACAATTAATTAAGTATCTCTGAAACTAGACTAAGCTCACCATGGGATCAGTTTCTGTCCTGGTTTATTTCTTCTGCTTCCAACCTACTGGCTTTTGTCACACACAAAAAATTATGATTCTAAGACATTTTTGATAAAACGTTTCCTTATTGGAATCATAATTTTTTTTATTCTCAATTTCCTTCTATATTTATCACATGAAAATAAAATAATGCTACACATATCACACATGTGCTTACTGTTTAGGATGACAAGGAGGGAAAAATTACCATGGATACTCTTAAGTTAAATATGACACCTACTCCTCTATGTGGCTATCCAAATATTTTGATCAGCTAGAACATTTTTTTTCTAGATGCTTACTTTAAAAACAGACAGAACACTGACTGACAGTGGGAGTTTTTTCTTATACAGATATTTTGCTATAAAATATCTGTGGTAAAGGGATTTGAGGTGTTGTACCTTTTGAGGATAAGTTAATATTTAATGCTGACACCCCATCTCCCAAAGAGGTAATGTCTCAACCAAAAGGGCTCCAAAGGATTATGGAAAAGCACCTGGAGAGTTAGATATACTGGCAGTGACGGATATCCAGGACTTATTGAGGAGTGAAAAAAAGAAAATGCAGAAAAATATGAAGAGCATGCTCTCATTTGTGTAAAAGGAAAACCAAAAAACACCTATGTGACTGTGAGGGACCTGTTTTTATCTGTCTCTCCCATGTCCATCTCCCTTCAGATAATGTCTTCTTCCTATAGGGAACCTTTTGTGTTTTGGAGTAGACTGACCCCACCATCTCCGACCCAGGCTGGGCATGTAACCGAGTCCTGGTCAAACAGAGAAATCCCCTGACTGTTCAGTGAAACGCGTCAGGAATGGCTTGTTCTTTCTTCCTGGAGTTGCTAAGCTGGCAACACGGCTGGAGGCCAGACTGCAGCCATGAGGAAAAAGCCCAAATGTGAAGCAAAGCAGAAGCAAGCAGAATCAAGAACCAGAGACACAGCCCTGACAGCACTCTTTGAACCCCAGGAGCCAGCTATTCTTAATTACAGGATTTGATATGTTACCTTTTTACTGTGTGTTGGGATGCAGGAAGAGTCTTAACTGCATTTAAACTTTTTCCAATTCTCTGTAGGAAATTTCCTAACACAATAACAGTCATAGAGAGATCCAATGTTGCTGGCTTCGAAAATAGAGGAAAGGATCCAAGAGCCAAGGAATGCAGGCAGCCTCTAGAAGCTAGAAAAGGCAAGAAAACATATTCTCCTCTAGAGGTTTCTAAAAGGATTGCAGCCCTGTGGATCCACGTTGGACTTCTACCTACAGAACTGTAAGACAATATTTTGGTGCTTTAAGCCACCAAAAATAATTTCCTAATGCAGAAAGTTTCTATAAGGATCCCACCATGTTATCTCTGTGGAAGGGAAATGGAGGTGGGAGGCAAAATGGGGGGATTTTATAATGTTTTAAACAACAAGCATATATTATGTTAAATTAGTTTGAAAAAACTAATTTTAAACATGTGTAAGAATGGAACCAGAATAAATATCTAAGAATCACAGGTATTATCACCCACCCAGAAGAGTCAGAAGAGAAGCTATTTCACAAATCTAACAGGGCAGGATGGATGTGGCTTGTGAGGGACTCCAGCCAGCATCAGAGTGTGTTGACACAAGGGGTCAGCCAGCGAGCCAACGCACCCCACTGCACACCACAACACCTAGTTAAACCAGGCCCTTCCAGCAAGTGCAGAAGTCCACTGGAGGGCTATCCCCAACTGTGCAGGAGCCAGGACTTATCTCTCAGATTTACTCTTGAAGATGATTTTGGAGACAGGGCTGGGAGGCACAGAAGAAAAGCCAGAACAGTAATTGGCCTAGGATTACAATTTAGCATACTTTTCAATAGAAAACCAACAAATTGCCAACAAATTGCTATGCTAATGAAGAATTGCCCTGCTCTGCAATGAGCACTTACTGTAATAGAAAAGGCAGCCCATTCATGCTACTCTGTAGAACTAGCTGCCATCCAGGAGATCCCCTGATGAATTTTAAAAGGCTTCATGTAGCAGAAAGGGGAAAGTAGTAGAGCTGGCCGCTCTGTTCATGTTTTTCTCTCGTCATTCTCTTATCCAGTGCTTAAAACATAATGCCAGGGAGCAAGATGGTCTAGTGTGCCCATCTGTGGCTTTCTACTAATGAAATAGTAGAAATGAAATACTAATGAAAGCCCAGTGCAGAGGCTGAGTGCAATATATTCCTCAAGAAGATTTTAAAAAAGGAAAATATCTGTCTCCACTCCCTTTCCCCATAACTAGCCAATAAGCAAATGGTGGTTCTCACAATGAACAGACACTTTTTCTAAATTCACTTCATTTTACTTGGACAAGAGAAGTGAGTCTGATACATTCTGTCAAGCTTAGGGGAAGTACGGTCCACTCGGCTATATACAGAATTTCTTTGGTCCGTCTCAAAGTGAAGTCTCAGAATGATGAGTCCAGAGGAAAACAGCAACAAAACAACACAGCCCTAACCACTTCGCTGCTGTCTAACCTGGTCATTTATCAGGCGTGACAGGGAGAGTGAAGGAATGAACGGTCATGAACTGTCCCAGGGACATTTCTCCTTCAAACTAATGGGAGATTTCTGTTTTGATTTTCTTCTTTACCCCCCCTATTTTCTATCTCCCTCTTTTTAGCTTAAAAAAGATATAGTTAGAGGAAAGAAGAAAAATACCAAGGCAGAGGCCTTGTCTAAAACATAACATTTAAGGGATATGAATAAAACACACAAGGATACTATAAGTCAGTCAAACCTCTTTGCCCTTTTACATTTGTCTACCAGGAATAAACTAAGGTCAATTTTAGATCCCTATTTAAGGACAGAAGGTTAATTCAATAAATTTAGGCAGAAGATTTATTTCAAATATAAAATAGAATTTTAAATTATCTTTTGCCCCCAAAGCAAAAGTTTTATATGTTATACATTTATTGAAGTAGTTAGAGTAGTTTTAGATTTTATTTACTTGAGGTAGCATATCTTTAAAAAGACTTCAGTGGAGTATACTATTGCACTACAGTCAGAGAGCCTAAAAACAAACTCTTAAAAGGCTTTTGAATGTTCTTAATACGTACATCACAGTTCCTTCTTCCAACTTCCTAGTCTAGTTAGGATTTAAGTCTTTCTCCCTATCAAAAATTAAAATAATTTTTTAATAACAATATTAAACTGTCTGGTTGCTTGACTATGTGACAGAAATAACAATAATTTGAGTAACACCACAAGACTTACAAAGCGTTTACCCAAGTACAACTCTCAATCTTTACAACTGTGTGACATATGTAAAGCAGGTATTATTGCCTTGCTTTACTGAGTTAAAAAAAAAAAAAAGACAGTAAAAATATCATTCTTATTTCACTGAAACATGCCCCTCTGACAGTCACCTGCCAATGTCTAAGGGTCACACTCCTTGCTCAGCAGCAGAAGATGAGTCACTTACCAACACACAGGATGTTGAAACAGAATCCTTGAGAAGTAGACTTGTTGACCAGCTGGTCAGGGAGACTGTCAAATCCAACATGGCCAGAAAGGGACAAGTTTCGAAGCTCTTCATTCTGGAATTTCACAGGGGAAATGTCTCAGAGTCCATGAATTTGTCACCTGGGTATCACATATTACAGACATTACCTTCTTCCTTCCTCTTCTCTTGACATGCACAGATAAAGGAGATTCCCTGGTACCCACAACCCTCCTTGTCTCCTGCACAACTGAGGGCACTAACAACTCCAAAGCCATACTCTTTCTACCAAAGCAAATCTCCCCAAGCAGACTATTTCCTAGGGTGTCTAATTCCTCATTGCAAGTGTACCAGTCCAGGGAAACTTGGGCTTCTAGAGGTGGCTATTTCAAATATGCAGTAAATGACATGAAAACTTCCAACCACTTTCATAGCTTCTATCACTCAAGAAAAACTTTCAATTTACTTTTGTTTGTTTTGTTATTGTTGTTGTTGCTGTTGTTGTTGTTTTTAGATAAACACCCTTCCAGATACATAAAAGAGCTTTGAGAAGCTCACAGCGGAGGATACATACTTGTTACAATTATGGCAATGCTGTAACCACCATAAATGCAACATTCCAAACTTCTCAGCACCTGAACTGGTTCCATCTCCTCTGTTAGCTGTGCAGACTTCTTGAGGCTTCTTTGCTCTCCCTTACACAGCTCCTAGCACAGGTTCTGCATTCACTGGACCTCCTCAGAGTTTACTGATGCAGACTGTGGTAAGGTCGCTATCATACATCTGAAAAGTCAGGTGATTTATATAAGATGGTGCTGACTGCCTCCACAACTTCAAATGCATCCTATGGGTGTTGGAGACCATCTGGGAAACCTTCCTTTCTCGGGAAACAGACATCAGCTATGGTCCTTCAATTACAACGTGTGTGTGTGTGTGTGTGTGTGTGTGTGTGTGTGGCCGGTAAGGGGATCCGAACCTTTGACCTTGGTGTTATAACACTGCGTTCTAACCAACTGAGCTATAAATATTAAAAACCTCATCCTTCAAGACAACATTCCTGGTTTTTCTGGCTTTGTTGTCAATGATCTTTATACTCAAAATTCTGAAGTATGAGTGAGAAAATGAGTCTCAAAGTTCCATTTTTTAATAAAAAAGAAAAAGCTTTGCATAGGACCACTTAGCCAAAGTTTTCAAAAGACTGGTCTTCACTGTCCTCCTATTTTTACATTATATAATCATGAGGGTGATTTCCTTTACTAATCAAGGACTGAGAACCCACTTTCAAATTTCTATGGTCAGTATATAAGCACAGAAATGTGACCCCATTAATGTAGTGCTTCTGATGGATTTTAATGGCTTTATGAACAATACAATGCCTAAAGTCCATACCAGTTCTGAATCCTGATTTTGTAAAAGACTAAAAACCAACATGCTGCCTGAATACCATGATAGCAGCTGCAGGTTTGAGGTCAATGGGACACAGAACAGATGTCTAGTCTATGAATAGTTTCCTTGAAACCTGCCAACAGTGAATATGAGACTCAAGAGTAGGCACTTATGCTTGAGCAGGATGGCATGGTTCACAGCTCACCAAACAGCTCTAGGTGCAGGTGCACAGGCATCAGTCCTGGTAGCTGGCCAAGCCTCCCAACCACACTGTACTTCTTCTGGCGCCAATTTTAGTACCTGCCCCTTCCTCTTTAGATACTTCAAAGGCTCAGATAGCAAGTATTTTTAGGGTGTTTACCACATCCGCCAAAACTTGGGGGAGGAGGATTTGAAATGCGTCTGGTTATATTTAGAACTCTTTCCATCACAGCTGTGCATGGTTGTTGTGTATCAGGCTAGAAGTCATGGCACCAGCCTTTGCTTCTGTTGCACCACTGACTTCGACAGTCAGTGAGAGGCATGAAAGGAGACAAGGTAGGGAAAACCATCTTCCTACATTCCCTCTCCTCTTCACCACAATAATTCCTCCAACTTCCAGGGGGGTGGGAGAGGGAGAATGGCTTATTGCTCTGGATTCTGGATTGCTGGGTTTGTAGATAACCACATATCTGCCCATGAGCCAATCCTGGGAAAAAATCAGTTTTATTGCTCTGGATTCTGGATTGCTGGGTTTGTAGATAACCACATATCTGCCCATGAGCCAACCCTGGGAAAAAATCAGTAATATAGCTCTCATCCCAGAACCCAAAGCTCAGCATCTCATATTCTCACCATTTCCAAAATGTAAGAAACCACCCACATACCCAGTAAGTATTTTTATACCCACTGAAAACCACATACATAATGAAGGGTTATAAAACAGTTTGGTCTTGACATTTTTGAAATTTAAAGTTGTCTTTAGAGTCTGTTTTCTAACTTTGTAATATAAAATATGTAGATTTCATAAAGCGGTTTCAAAATTTCATAATATGAGCTTAATTCTCTGCCCAGCATTTAACAAATTCTGAGAGCCACTGCCCATCAGTATGAGGTAGGGAAAAGAGAAAGAGGAAGTGCCTCTTTTGGTTCATGAACAGGCTTAAAAACTGAAAAGCACTAGAGGAAATGCAAGGAACAGCTCTGAGCAATCTACCTGGTGACTCACACACAGCAGCTGGATTGAACTCCTACAATCCAGCATTTTATGTACTTGCCTTAGCTGTCACTATGCAAGGAATTTGGGGTCTCTTTTGAGTCCATAGGCACAGTCACAGGGAACTATGTATATTCCCATGTCATTAACACAACCACACATCTGGAAATAACTCTCCGAATTCTATTGCAAATACTGAATTCTTTGCTTGGGTTCCGGTATCCTCCCTTGAGACCACCTTCCCTCCCACCATCAATTCTGAAGTCTTATCAATGCTATGTCCTCTTCGTCTCTACTCCTACTGGTTCAATGGCTGCCCAACTGGTCTCCCTGATTTGATCCCAGCTCCCTCTCATTCTTCCTCTACCTACCTTGCTGTCAAAGTGTTGTCAGTACTCTAAGGCCATCAATCCAAACTATTTGGCCTGCCATTTCAGGGCCTCAACAGGCCTGCTTTCTACCCCAAATCTGCTTTCCTACCGAATCTCTCACTTTTTCCCAGGGAGTACCTCTCACTGCAGTTAAACTGAATAACTTACTGTTACTGGGGACAGAACCAGGTTTCTCCCTATCAGAGCTTAATCACCCTATTTATCTGAAAGAGCCTTATGTCCAATGCTTACATGTCCAAACTTTCCAGATCCTACTTAAATTTTGCTTCCATCATCATCTTTAGTATGAAATCTTGGGGAGAATTTCAGTAAACATTCCTCTTCCCAATAAAAGGAAAATACTGACTGAATAAAGGTGTCTCAAGCTATTTGCGTATCCCATGATCAACATACAGCTAACATTTATTGACCATTTACAATGTTCCAGAAAAGCCCTAAATGTAAATGACCTAATTTCTTTCTCTTCACAATTCTATAAGGTAGTTACTGTTATTACGCAACCACAACTTACAGCAAGAAGAGGAAGGCACAGAAGTTTAGTAGCTCACCCAAAGTCACACAACTAGTAAAGTTGAGGAGCTGAAATTTAAACCCAGGAAGTCAGGTTGCAGAATCCAAAGTCCCTGAACTTAGTCACTGCTATCTCATGATGATCTAGTAAGTTCCCAGGTAGCCCTAGACAGTACAATGATTTCAGTTGCTACAAAAGTCCAGCATGTTAAAATAGAAAGAAAAAAATATTCTCTAAAACCATAATTCTTTGGCAGCTATAAGAGGTGGAAATTGAGAATTAGAATCGGCAAAGCAGCTCCAAGTATATTTCCACTGGTCCTGGCAATGGTGAAACCAGACTTTGATTTTTGCAGCTATAGCACATGAAGCCCATAGATCTAGCTGAATCAGAGCAGGACAGCAAAAAACTTGGAGTCAGAGAGACATGAGTTTGAATCCCTGCATTTGGCAGGGTTGCTGGGAGGAGACAAAGAAATGGTATGGATGCCAGTGCCTAGCATTCAATAGGTCCTCAGGAAACTTGGATTTCCTTCCCCTAAATTAGGTGGGAAGAAGAAACAACTATACATCTAAAATCTGAAATGAATTAGGAGTTCTGTTACTGCTGCTAGGCATTCCAGGAAAAGCTGCTGATCAGCAAATTTCTCAGACTAACCAAGAAAGTAAAACCACAAAGGTAAGAAAAGAGTGAATAAAAAGAAAGTAGAATAGTGAATGAGGATTCTAGCATGAAGAAAATCCACCTAAATAGGAAACTCATTTATAAAGCTAGAGGAAAAGCCACAGAATCACATTCCTGTTTGCAGAGTCAGCAGTTAATAGAACAACATCCTCCACGGCTGGAAACCATTCTGGATTCCCCATCTTCCTTTTTGCTTCTATTTTAACCCAGCCCTGAATCTCTTGAAATTAACAAGCTGAATGTGCCCAGATGGATTCTATTCACCATACTCAAAGCAAAGTGAGATCCCTTTTCTTTACTTTTAAAACTGAAGTGCTTCAGTAGTTGTGGTTAGGTAGCCTATAGTCTCTGATCATTATCAGCAGGCGGAAGCAAGAGAGCACACGTTACCAAGGTGATGTTTTAATTAATTCAAACAAATTAAAATTATGTTTCTATCTGAAAGACTTAATTTTCACCTTGAAAATCAGATATTACAGTTTTTTAGAAAGATTGCCCCCTTTAAAATTTAAATAATTTTTAAAATTTGAGAACTTATTTTATGTATTCACTTAGAAAGTTGGAGAGTTTTTGCAAGAAGTCTGATAACATTTTTCTCAAAGCCTCAGTTTATGGGTAATAAATTATATTGATCCAAGTAACTAAATCTCCAGGCTTATGTTTTCTCATCTGTGAAGTGAGAAGACTTAGCCAAATGACCTCTTAGCAAAGTCTCTGGTTCTAAGCTAATTCTAAGGTTTCTTAAGTCTGGAAATCAGAGATGCATAAATCTAAATCTGTCATTTTGCTTGGAAAGCCAACACAGGGCAAAAAAATTCCTTATAGCATATTTTCTCTTGCCAGATCAAGACAGCTCAATTTTATTTATTTATTTATTTATTTATTTTATTATTATTATTTTTTGTCTTTTTCCATGTCCGGCAACGGAT